AAATAATGAGAACTTAATTTGCAAAGGACGACTATTAAACAACTTGTATGAACTAAATCCAAATGAAATACCTATTAATGTTATATCAGCAAAACGTAAGGAGATAGATCAAAACCCCGCACAACTTTGGCACGCTAGACTAGGTCATGTCTCTTTAAGAAGGATGAACGATTTTGTCAGTGAAGGATTGTTCTCTTTGGAGGACGTGAAATCACTACAAACTTGTGAATCTTGCCTTAAAGGGAAAATGACCAAGTCACCCTACAAAGGGAAAATGGAACGAGCCGAGGGTCTTTTGGATTTGATCCATACAGACGTATGTGGTCCACTAAGTGTTAGTGCAAAGGGTGGATACAACTACTTCGCCACCTTTACCGACGATTATTCTAGGTATGGGTATGTGTACTTGATGAAGTACAAGTCTGAAACATTTGAAAGGTTCAAAGATTTTAGACATGAAGTAGAAAAGCAACTCGGACGAAGTATTAAGAAGCTGCGATCCGATCGTGGTGGAGAATACTTGAGCATCGAGTTCATTGACTATCTAAAAGAAAATGGGATACAGTCCCAATGGACTCCACCGGGAACTCCTCAACTTAATGGAGTATCCGAACGTCGGAATCGAACTTTATTAGATATGGTTCGATCAATGATGGGGTTCACAAACTTACCGGCATACTTGTGGGGTCATGCACTCCGTACTGCCGCGTATTTGCTGAATAGAGTTAACACCAAAGCAGTTAAATCCACACCTTATGAACTTTGGCATTCCCGGAAACCCAATTACAAACATATTAGGATATGGGGTTGTCCCGCTTATGTAAAGCGATTAGTGGGAGATAAGTTGGATAGTAAATCCGACTTGTGCTATTTTGTGGGGTATCCCGAAGACTCAATGGGATACGAGTTTTATTATGTCAAAGAAGCAAAGACGTTTGTTTCGAGAAATGCCACCTTTTTGGAAAGGGAGTTTCTATCCGATAGAAAGGGCAGCATGATAGAACTTGAAGTAGTTCAAGAACCACAAAGTGAAGTTCAAGCGCAAGAACAAGTAATCGAACCAATACAACAAACCACTAATATACCTCCTGAACCTACGGTACGTAGATCCGAAAGAGTTCGGAAAATGCCGGATAGGTTATTCCTCCTCGAAAATGATGAAGATCATGTTGATCTTGGACGAGATCCAAGAACATACAATGAGGCCGTATCGGATGCGGACATGGGACATTGGCTAACTGCCATGAAATCCGAAATGGACTCCATGTACTCCAACAAGGTATGGACCTTGGTAGATCCACCCAAAGGAATTGTTCCTATAGGCTGCAAGTGGATCTATAAGAAGAAAATTGGAGTGGATGGAAAGGTGTCGACCTATAAAGCTAGATTGGTAGCAAAAGGATACACTCAAAGGCAAGGCGTTGACTATGAGGAAACCTTTTCGCCAGTCGCGATGCTGAAGTCCATTAGGATTTTGCTGGCCATAGCTGCGTGGTACGACTACGAGATATGGCAAATGGATGTGAAGACCGCCTTCCTTAATGGAGACATTGAGGAAGAAATCTACATGGCGCAGCCGGAAGGCTTCATATCTTCTGGAAGTGAGCAAAAGGTTTGCAAGCTCCGGCGATCCATTTATGGATTGAAGCAAGCATCCCGTAGTTGGAACATTAGGTTCGACTCAACTATCAAAGAGTTTGATTTTGAGAAGAATCCGGAGGAACCTTGTGTATACAAGAAGGTTAGTGGGAGGGCAGTGATATTTTTAGTGCTTTACGTTGATGACATTCTACTCATTGGGAATGACGTAGGAATGTTGCAACAAACGAAAGCATGGTTGTCCACACGTTTCTCAATGAAGGATTTGGGAGAAGCATCTTATGTATTAGGAATACGCATCTATAGAGATAGAGCAAGAAAGATGCTTGGCTTATCCCAAAGCCTGTACATAGACACCGTTATGAAACGGTTTAGCATGGAAGAATCCAAGAAGGGATTCTTGCCAATGTCCCATGGGGTTCGTCTCTCGAAATCTATGTGTCCCCAAACACCTAGTGAAATCGAGGAGATGAAAAGGACGCCCTATGCTTCTGACATAGGAAGCATAATGTATGGCATGCTATGTACGAGACCCGATATTGCGTATGCTGTGAGTGTCACAAGCAGATATCAGTCTAACCCCGGCCCGGCTCACTGGAAAGCCGTGAAAGATATCCTCAAGTACTTACGAAGAACTAAGGATATATTTTTGGTCTATGGGGGTGCCGAGTTGAAATTAGAGGGTTTTACCGACTCTAGTTTTCAATCGGACGTGGACGACTCAAAGTCGAATTCTGGATTTATATTCACGCTTAATGGTGGTGCCGTGTGTTGGAAGAGTTCCAAGCAAAGCACGACGGCCGATTCCACTACCGAAGCGGAATACATTGCAGCGTCTGAAGCTGCAAAAGAAGGGACTTGGATAAGGAAGTTCATCCAAGAGTTGGGTGCCATTCCTGATGCTAGTGATCCAGTACCGTTGTACTGTGATAACACCGGAGCCGTGGCACAAGCTAAGGAGCCACGATCTCATCAGAAGTCAAAGCATATTCTGAGGAAGTATCACGTGATCCGAGAGATCATTGATAGAGGTGAAGTTAAGGTTGAACGAGTCACCTCGGAAGAGAACGTTGCAGACCCCTTCACGAAGCCTTTACCGAGATCGGTCCATGAGAAACATCGAGAGTCGATGGGATTGCGGTTTATGGGTAGTTGGCTTTAGGTCAAGTGGGAGATTGTTAGAGTAGGTGACCAACAAGCCAACTTGTGGCTGTGGTCTTTCGTATTTATTATTGTAATAAACGAACCTTTATTCGTATTAATGATAAAATACATTGGCATTCTATATCTTTGTCCCTTTGTCACAAGCATAGATATAGTCCTTACAGTTATTACAAGTACTAGTAATTGATCGTTAGGATCGTGAGATATTTACTCAAGTATTATAACTGTTAAACGTGTTCCTAGTCGAAGGGTTACGCCACTAATGAGGATATCGGCCTTTCCCATTAAGACTAGCACTTAATGTATGTGTACTGCATCTCATCAGTAAACGGTATTGTGATATCGGCATGCATAAGTGGGTGCTCGTAAGTTGACGAGTTCACTGAACTCCCTCACCCTAGAAATCTCTAAGTGGTTCCCAATAATCGAGTAGAGATATCTATGGTATAGTTGTACACCATTAGTCCTTATGACCTAGACATCACCGTGACTTCACTAGAGGACCAGCTGTATCGTGACCTGTCCCTGAGTTCCACCGAGGAGCATCCCAAGGGCCAGTGTTCGTGCAGTCCGAAATCTAGTGGGAGGTCTGTGCATTGTAGTCGGGGATTCGATCGCTAGAATAGTCTTGGATGTCCTGTGTGTTCTGAAAGTATGTAATCATTCTAAGTCTCTGGCCAGAGCTGACTAAGTGATGATTAGAGAATTCGATTCTCTAAGTCATGCACGTAAGGATTACAACACTTAGAACGATCGCACCGTCATCGAACATATAAAGAGGTCTCGATGAACCAATGCCTCTAGTTCGATCGGGACATATGAATCGAAGGGACCATACTGTACGTTAACTATATCTGAAGGTTCTTGCAGGCACTTCATTTGTATCTAGGGAATCATGACGCGTAGTTGCTAGACGCCAATCTTGATTCGTTGGGTGATTAAGGTGAAACGAGCTTCATCTTAATCGTAACTCGAAGGGGACGAGTTTTGACCACAATGGGTTGTGGGCCCACGGCTAGCTTACACCTGAACCATCGAGGGTCACACTGCTCGTGCACATGAGATCTTTGAATAAACGGTCAGAGATAAAATAGTTTATCTTTGCATGATTGGAAGTCAATATGATTGAATCCAACATTCGTAATTTGGAATTACGAATGAGGATAAGAAAAGGAAAAGAATAGGCGAACATGTTAGTGAACTTTCTAAATCGAGAAGTTTCCAAATTTAGAAAGTCCACTGAACTAGGGTTTCCACTTTTGGAAAGTTGGAAAACAAGAGATGGCACTCGTAATGACGAGGAAGTTATAATGATTCCGAAAATGTAATCGTTGCAATTTTTCGGTCATTGAATTGAGAGATACGAGCAAGTAGAGGAACTAACGAGCTTAAGCTGTTGGGCCCAGTCCAACTTAAGCCCGCTAGGGTTATATGCAAGGGACTATAAATACATGACTAATAGCCCTTACACAAACATAGGAAACCCTAACCCAAAAGCGGCCGTCCATCTCTCTCTCTCGCCCTCTCTCCCGCGCGGCCACCACCGCACCGCCGTCGCCGCTCCGTCGCCGGAACCGGCCGTTCGTCGGCCGTTCCTTGTTCGGTATTCTTTCTCCTTTTTTTTTCTTCCGTTTTATTCTAACTACTTCGTGTCTAGTGCCACGATTTAGTAGATCGAAGTATACGAGGTGAAATCCGAGAGGAGGAAGACTGTAGATCGAAGAATCGAGGAGCAACGCACGAGCCGAAGCCGCACGCTGCCCCACGCGCCGTCCCGAAGCCGCGCGTACGTTACACGCGCCGCCGTGACCTCACGCGCCGCTGCTGCCGTTGCACCGCTGCTGCCCCGATTCTACGGATTGGTTTCCGTAGTAATCACGAAGTGCTAATCGCTCCTACTTCACGCGTCAAGAGGTAAATATACGAAACCCTAGTTTCGTTTAGGGTTTAGTTTAAACTATGATTCCATGCTTGTAGTTGTATGATTTTATGTGATTATGTGTAATCGATTAAATCGTTGCAAGCATGTTATTTGGTTTAAATTGCGAGCATGTTAATTGATTAAAGTACGGTTAAGTTTATTAGCATGTATGTTGTTTTATTTTCGCTGGAAGCGCAAAGGTACGCAATTAATTGTTTTCAATTTGTCGGGCATGTACTTGTGTGATTTAAAGTCGTTTAATTCGCATAAAATTTTTGTTTTCCGCTGCGTATGCGTGCCCGAAACCCAACAATGCCTACATCATCAGTGGGGAGAACGAAGGTGCAAAGCCAACAAGCCAAATGGGCCGCCAAGTATGTCTCGGACCTCAGTTCGACATCAACGCTAATGCTCGAAAACACAGCTTCTTCGATGTTGATCCATTTTGCATGTGCTTCAATATTGCCAGAAGGATTGTGAGTTGACTTGGGGCGAACACCCTTCTTTTGTTTGCGCGGAGGAGGTTGAGTATATTTCTTCTGCTTCTTCGACCAAAACTGAATCCAGCTTTCGACAGAGACATTGGAGGACGGATCTTTAGAGCGCTTCCGAAGTAAGTGGTAGGCATGGAATAGATGTCGGTAGGAACGGTGAGAATATCGAACACCCTTTGCATCGGAACCAACGAGTTCTTGTGAGGCAGGGACAACTTCATCGTAAAGGAGCCCGGTTAACGGTAGCCCGGAGAGGGTGTGCAAGTCCCATAAAGAGATAGACATTTCTCCGGGAGACGTCAAGAGGGTATTTGTATTCCGACACCATGCCTCGAAAAACGCCTTCATAACTTCAGAGTTGTAGTCGTACGTGAAGAGGGAGGCATATACAGAATCATAGATCTTCGCGGACTTTCGCTTGTGCTGGCAACGGCTGAGAACGTCTTCGGTCCATTCCCAGTACCCTCTGAAGAATTGAAAGCCGCCGGAAAGCTCGAGAGTATCTCCCCACTTGACTTTTCCCTTCACGATGTTGCCACCCAAAGTCGGCAGAAGGCTCGGACTGCTTGACTCTTCCGGAAGCGAGGATCTGTCGGGTTTATGATTTGATGCTCGCAAACTATACACGTACTCGTACTTATTATGAGGATGCTCGTGGGACCAAACGGACATGCGATTCAGAGTCGTGAGACGTGGCCATTGCTTTGCGTAAGGACCGATAAGGGGGGCATAAATCGTCAAGATGGTGCCTTTGTCATTCGGTTGATAACGATCGTCAAGAATTACCAATTGCTCGTCGCCAAGAGAGGAGAAAGCTTGCTTGAAAGAGCAATAAGTTTGATATACGACGAGAAAAAAAAAAAAAAAAAAAAAAAAAAAAAAAGAATACTTTCACACAGAGGCCGGGTGCTGATGAATGAAAAAAAGTGAAGAGGGGCACCTCCTTTTATAGGCCATGGACGATGATAACTCGATTCAAGTTAGGACTCCATCCGTCTAATTGGAAAAGAGTGAGAGATCAACTAGAAGAAGTAATGCTTCCATTCTTCACGTGTTGGAAATCCATGTGGACAAAGGGATAATTTTTTTTTTCTCTTATTTTTTTGAAACTAATTGTGTTGAAGTATAACCTGGGTAGGATAGGGACTCTCTAACTAATACGAATTCAAGTCCTCTACATGGAATTCTATTGAAGTTTTGAGTGGGCTCGTGAAACAAGGAAAAGATATTGAAAAAAAAAAAAACAAAAAAAACAAAAAAAACAAAAAAAACAAAAAAAAAAAACGTTTAAAAAGAAGTTGCTGAGTAGATGGTTATTTTCATCTAGGATTCCAATTGAAATTGAAATTCTATTTGTTTATTCAAGTGGGCCAATTAAATTTTATAACGCAAATCGAGGAAAGAAAGCATTGATAGAGCAGATTGATCATTCTTTGCAGGAAGAGCCGTGCATTCTCGGGTTGGGAAATTCTAGTGGCTTTATATTTAAAGTCTATAAATTGAATACATGTGGGGTATATTCATGAAAAGCCCAAATACATCTATGAATTATCCCAATATTCACGCCTTATTTACTTCAAGTCTCGTCTCACAAACATTCAATTTGTTCTTCGCCGAGACTAGAAGTGGGGGCATTTTGTAGACGAATAAAATTTAAGCCAATTAAATGGCTAAAGTTTGATCCAATGGCATTTGTGTGATTATATATAGCCGAAGGACTTAGATGCCAATTGAAGACTCGTATATATGCAGTCAATATATTTTTATCAATTTTATATTTTGGAATTTAATTAAATTAATTTCTAATTTAAATAAATAATTGATATTAAATATATATTGGCCAATAAGATTATTTCTTTTCTCCCTAGTTATAAAGAGATAAATATCAATTAATTATTGGCTAAGAGAATTGTTTCTTCTCTTCCAAGTTACAAGAGATAAATATCAATTTAAATCGGGCCAATCAAATCGCGCCACATCATCAATAAGGCCCATCAAGGACTCTTATTCTACCACTATAAATAGGGACCCTCCCTTCACAATTCAAAGCACAACTGAAGGAGCAGAAATCGTAGGAGCAAAATTCTCTCTACAATTCAAGAAGCAAGGAAGAAGAATTCGTAGGAGGTAAGATTCTCTCTCTACATTCAAAGTGTTCTTCGTCAAATTCGAGGTGTTTTTGAGCAAATTCAAGGCATTCTTCATCAAATCCAGCGTTCGATCCGAGATAACGGTGCCAAACCTTCGGATTAACGTTAATCAAATTCAAGTCAAGATCATTGGAAGATTGAAGGGCCAAATCCATCAAGAACTTCAAGATCTTCAAGTCAAATTTAGTCAAAGTTCAACGTTGATCCAAGATTCAAGTCGCAAGACCCT